AATCATTTTGTATTTATGCAGTTTAGAGATATACTCATTTTTCAGTACAACCTGCCCTCACATTCGAGTGTAAACATGATGGATCGAATAGGTTGTTGACAGAATTTTTCAATTTGCTGATAGCAAGCTATATGAGCCAGGTAATATTTTATTTGGTAACAGACTTTTCAATACAGCTCCGATACCCAATTCGACATCATGTTAACATAAGAGATAATTCTGCCGCCAATTTTTCGGTTTGGAAGCGTAAACAACTTCATTCATATATATGGGCAAATACCTATAGGAAAATAGTTAATTTGCTGAACTTTTGTGTCTATTTGCCCTCCACGAAAAAATTACGATGTGGCGAAAAACTCTCCATTAGAGAGGAAGATGAAATTAAAAATTTATGACAATATTTTCTTTACTCACTATTGCAGAAACTTCGCGTAGAAGAGAATATTGGAATCTTTCACCACATGACTGACACAAACACTCATAATTTTCATTATATGCACGAAAAATAGGAGTTAATCAAAGAGCAATTATTTATAGAACTATACTATAATATATATTATTCATTATTTTTCTTCTTTTTCTCCAAATGTGTCATTTTGTTCTGTACTGAACTACAACAACGATTATTATTATTATTATTATTATTATTATTATTATTATTATTATTATTATTATTTGAAGTTTCGTAGATAAAGAAATATTTCGGTTTATTTGATGGTTAAGAGAGTTTTCATTAACCCATCTTTGGACGACCCCTCCCAGACGGACACCGACCGTTTTTCGACTGCGAGAGCTACAATCACGCATGGTCTTGTCGTAAATTGACATATTTTCTAATACATTTTTTCTTTGTATTGTAAATTTTTACAGTTACAATATTTCAGTATAATATTTATTCTTTTGAAATCAATACACAATTATGATAATGCAAAGAAAAATAACCTTTAAAGAAAGAAGAATCTTGTCTGAAATATTTTTCCACCTCTAGGACTTCTATCCAGCTAACAGTTGATTTCCATTTAAGTCCCCATGAAACGCATACGAGTATTCGACCAGACACCAACACATTTGCGGCTCCTTTATGTTTGGGATCAGCAGATCGCGAGTCTCCCGGCGTGTGACGTGTGACATCTTTAAGTCCAAAAGATACTTCACATCCCAAGTAATTAGAACTGGACTCTTTTTCCACAGTCTTTCCATTCAATACTATTTTTGATCTGACTGGATATTTACCAGGAAAAGCCAGGTTTTATTAGCAGAAATTTTAAGGTTATAATCTTCACATATATTTTGCAATACATACATCCCTGTTTATAGGAGGTATTTAGTTTGATGAATCATTACCACATCATCTTAATATGCACGAAGTTTGAGTTTCATTTGAGCAGGGTTTAGGTGAATTCCGGAGTTAAGAACTTCTCTCCATTGTGTAAAATGTTGACTATATATATATATATATATATATATATATATATTGAAACGAAGAACGTTTCTACATAATAATTAGCAANNNTTAATAAGATGGAAAGGTAAACCTCTTCTAATACGTAAGCTCCACAACTTCGCCCTATTTGCGCTATCGAAAGCATTTCCAAAATAAATAATTGACATCTGGGTTTTCCAACGATCTAAATAGTAAATATGGTATCTATCGTGACGCGACCGTTTCTAAATCCCATCTGATCTTTGTCTAATAAGCAATCAACAATTATTTTCAGTCTTTGATTAAGTATTCTAATATATATCTTATATGCGCTATCCGATAAGCTGATTCATCTATAATTCTCACGATTTTCTCTGTTACCTTTCTTATATGAAGAGATTACTTTCAACTTTAACCAGTTTTGTGGCAGTATACAGTACATGTTTACAAAAGTAGAAATCTTAGATGTAGACACATTCTGCCATATTTCCAACATTCATCTTTTTTTTCAAATCCTGTTACTATTTTTAACGCTTTAATGGCGTCTGTTACTTTCTCTATTGAGATATTGCCCAAACCATGAGAACTAATATGGGATGGTACATGTTATGGAAATTCCTCATACCACTAGTTTTTGTAGTGATTTCTCCAAACTTCGTCGCTAATGACCTCTAACTTCACCAGGTTTCTCTTATCGCTGCGCAATGTTTTCAGGGCTTTGTATGCAAAGGTTTGTCGGCAGTGTAAGCAATCTTCAATATTTGAGATAAATCTATCTCAAGACTGCTGTTCTATTTTCCTTACTAACCTCTTTGCAAAATTTCATCTTTGCCTTTACAGATTTTTTTTTCAGTAGGATTGTAAAGATATTTTCTATATAAATCATTTTTCTCTTTAATGGTATGGTCTTTTTCCTCTGTGCATATTTTAAGGCCTTTCTTTTTCCTATATGTTTTCTTTTTGCCAAGGACTTCATAAGATATTTTATACAGCTTTTTGTATGTTATCCCATTCATCTTGTATGTTTCTGTAGTCTCTCTGTGTATGAGCTTCTCATTTAACCGTTTCTGATATAGGTACTAAGTATTTTGATCAAGTAATAAATGAGCTTTATAAACTTCGTATACTTGTTGACATTTTCTTCTATGAGGAACTCGCTACGCTTCATACATGTTAGCATTAGAAATTACATGATAATGATCACAATCAATATCATCACCTCTATACACTTTAAGTGGTAGTTAAGTCAGTAATCTGGACAGCAAAATTCATATTTGTTATAATATAATCTGTTCAGGGATGCTTAACACATTAAGATTGTATGAAGTGTGTGATCTGGTGGATTAATTAAAGGGGAGCAGCCTTGAATCCCTTTGATAGCATACAGGGTTAGGATGATCTTTCTGTGTTACAGAAACAAGGTTTTGAACAAACAGATTTATTCTTTATCAATTATTGAAAATAACATACAAAGTTCACTGTTCACCTTCAATTGAACACCTTAACTTGAGGTTGAATTTATCCCCACAATTTATGCAATTCCAATGTTTATGATACGATTTTACGCACCACGCTTGAGTAATACAACTTTGTTCAGCATGGACGTTAGGTAAAATCCCTTACGTTGGAAATACTTCTACCTTCTGAAACCTGGGCCAGCAAAACGCGTTACTTGCGTTTAATGGCTAATCAACTCAGACCAAGGCACAGAAAAAAAATTTACGTAAAGGAATAATTCGACTTCACAGAATATAAGCATCTTGCGAGGAGTAAGTCTGTGTGCAAGCTATTTATTGCTTTGACTCAATGTACTAAAACATTACGTGAAGGAGCAATACAACGTCGCGGAGTCTTATGCAGCTTGCAAAGAGTACGCCCGTACGCAAGCTATTTCTCGCTCAGGCTGAAGATTTTGAGAATCCGTTCGGGCGGCGATGCGCTGGAAGGTTCGTTTGCGCGAAGGGCGCGGGGAGGGGGGGATAGCCTATCATGGACTAGTATTTTGAAAGTGTTTGAAAGCTTGTAGAAGCTTTTGCAGGTTGCACCGGAGAGGCGTGTTGCAATACGCAAGCTCCGAGAGTCACCGTGAGGCAACCGTTCGCCAGTCGGGCGGCGGCACCCAGCACAGGGCCCGACTACACTCCAGCAATATTGGGGACAAAGCTAGAGGTTGCTACTATATGATGCGCTAGTGTCGCCGGATACAGCTACAGGTAAGGGTCGCAAACTTTCGCCCATTAAAAATGGGTCAAGAAATACGAATATACTTTGATTAAGAGCGATTTCTGAAATAAATTACAAAAGAAGTTAAATACTACGTGTTTATCTTCTAAAATTCATTTATTCATAATAATACGCGCATAAAAGAATAGGTAGTGAGAACTGCGGCGCGATCTTTTGTATTAAGCGCATGTGTTTGCGTCCCGAGAACCCACGCACGTTTTAAATAACGATGGTAGCAGTTCGTATTTTAGTTCGTGTAAGAAAGTGATGCTCTAGAGAACGCCATTGAAATGGTCCCCACCACGTTATATGGGAGTTTAGGGCCCAGTACATCCGCCTACGCGGTGCGAGTTGGCATCGTGCAGATTCTGTCCAATGCCTGTGAAAGAAATACGTTTTATATGATTCTCTGTTTTTGCGGCTGGGTCCGAACATAATCAATAATTGATCTTAATCCCCTCGATGACAAAGAAAACTTGTAAATATCTTTCTTTCTGAAAAATGTGTTCTGAATTTTTAATTTATTGAAGCTGACAAAACCTCTTAGCAAATATCCATTTTATTCATCGTATCTTCACCGTAAAAACCGACGCAGTTAGCGATTTGCTTATTACCAACTCTCGAACTGTAGTCTTCAGTCACCACCAGTTAGTCGCTTTGACGGTACTTTCTCACTATATTCTGTACTTTACTATAAAACTTTTCAAGATTCTTCAACTTTACCATCTTCGGGAGCATATACTCGGATCACTGCAAGATATCCTCTCTCATGTCTCAGGCGTACAGTAATGATCCTGTCTGAGATGTATTCGTAACTCTTTATTTTACTTTCTAACTTTTTATTTACTAAAATTGCTACATCTGTACTGACCCGTTGTTGTTGTTGCACGCCACTGTAGAACACATCACTGTAGTCCTCTACGTATTTACTGCCTTGACATTTCTCCTTCGTCTCAGATACGGCTCAAATATATACATTATTAGTTTTCAATAATTTTGCTGATTCATTTTCTTTACCTGTCAAAAATATAACATTCCATGTACTTAAAATTAATTTTTTCGCAATCCATTTCCTTTGTTTCGAGTCGGATTGTCATTGAATCCATTTCCGACTCTATTATGGTTTCTGCCGGTAATAAGTTAAATCCCCTGTCCGTGTTTCGAGCGCTGCGCAGGCTTAGCTTAGTGATGGGTTCGCCACCTTACTGCTTCAAAGGCTGCCGGGATGTTTATTCAAGGTGCCGCTCTAGGTTCTTCCGCTCCTTCCGGCAGGTGGATATCATCCACATTGTCTTGGGACCGTTGTAGCAGCCCCTTCTGAGCAGACGCTGCGAGGAGCGGTGTTCCTCTTCGGATTGCTTTTTCGTCTGGATTTTCACCTTTCGCCTGTCCGGCAAGGGAGGCTCTGCTAGTAAGTACGTTGTCGCCGGCATAGCCCAAAGGATTGAGACCGCACTAGCACCCCCACCAACGACAAGATCATGCCTAGGACCATTCCTAGGGTGTATTCCTACAACCAGAATATTAAAGATAGAGTTTTTCTTCTAATGAAATGAGTTTCTTAAAGATAGATTTTGAAATGAAGTTTTTTGAAAAATATGAGTACTTTTCGCGTAATTTTGCCTGAAAATACGGTCGAGAGTGTACGTGCTTTTTTCTAGCGTCACTACTTCTTCTTGGAAGAAAAACACATTTAAATATTTCATTTTCTTTCTGTTGGCATTACCGAATCTTTTTTTAAAATCTAAAGTTAATGAAACGTGAAACATACAAATTGTAACCTCTACTACTCGCAAATTTGACTGAAACATAACTAGAATTCGTCGCTCGCGCATTTCTCCAGAGCGCACAAGACGGGAAACTCCATCGAGTTTCTTCGCTCATGATGCAATACTGGCGACAACGCGACTGCCTTTTTTGTCTCTGAAGGAATTGAGATATACGTGACGAAGAACGTAAAGAGGAAGCTTCTAGGCCCAAGACATGCATTCTTTCCCTCTCATCCTCTGTCAGAAGACTAACCTGGTGCAATACTACTACGTTGAGAGTAACGTTTAGTGCGCAATTAGGGAGCCTAAAGAGCATAACCGTGTAACGCAATTTGTTTCGCTCCAGAGTCATCTAAAATGTAATAACAGGTCAACGTTTCTTGACCGAAGGCTGGAGGAAAATTGAGTAGAGTGGGGGTATTGGTTACAAAATCAACCTCTTATTTTTTTTAAGTAAGGCCCACTTTCAAAAATCAAAGACGAATCTACATTTCAGTGTAATGAATGACCCGTTAATTTCTGGATCTAGGAAGCATACTGACTTCTTTTGCATCAAGTGACGAATGTTCTTTTATTATAATGAATTCCTTATTATCAACGATATCAGTGTAAACAGTAACTAATAAGACCAACATTTTAAAATACTTAATGTGCTATATATCAATCTTTCATTCAAGTTCAGTAGAAAGTTGCTGAAAACGAGTACAAAAATATGGTTACATGTGTTTCCTGTGAAAGATCTGGAGCAATTTCTGCCATTTCTTTAGATTTTTAAAGAGAAAACACGAACAATTCTCATCTTTAACGGCAAGGGAGTGTTGTTTCGCGCCCATGAAGGTGCTGTATTAGGAATGTTGTCAGTAGTGCTCGCTGCCTACACCTGTTTGTGGTACCAGGGAGGGAGAAGATAGGCCATCGGACAAGAAAAATTGCGCGGTTATTAGTACAATGTTTGGTTTTGACGGTAGCGAAGTTAGCCTAAAAATTCAATGTACACCCAAATCTTTGGTAACTACTGCTTACAGTGCTCAAGTAAATTAACAATATCTTCTTTCCGAGTCAAGAAAAAGGCTGTAATTATTTTAAATAAAATCACGAAAGGGGGGAGTAAACACAAAGGATAATCTGAAGATTAGCTATTCAGTTTCAGTAACAACAGAAATATTGTGTTTTTCTTATTTAGATCAATGCTAGTGAGTTAAATCGCAAATTGCAATTCAAGAATAAATTACTAACGCGACTATTAGTATGGCGTTAACTTTTACGCAGAAGTAACAAAAACAACTGAATGTGAAGTTGTTTGCGATACTTCTTTCTATTCCTGATACACAACTGGAACGCAATATGAAGTTTCAAAAATATATTATTATTATTAATACTATTATTATCATTATTATCCTTATTATCCTTATTATTACGACTTGCAGTAGAAAGAATTGAATTCAAAAGTGAGCGCAGCGCTCTCCCGTCCACCAATGGCAGATTAAATACGAGAGGTATTAAAAGTAAAATCAATATTAACTTACATTATATCGCTCATTTAAAAAAGACCATTTTTCTCTTCTACTAGCAAGAATACATTATGCTTAAAATATTTTTCAATTCTTCATAATAAACATTGATTTTTTTCTTACTTACGCTTCCAACATTTTTTACATTAATGACTTATTTTCTGCAAACTCAATTTTATTTTAAATTTTAACTTCCACCTCTCGTAAAGATGATTTAAAACTCGTGTAACTCGTGTCTCTAAAAGAAGGCCTGTCCTATTTCCGGTTCATTCCAAGTGACAATCAACCGCCACACAGAGTGGGCTTGCATAACCTTCAGAGACACTCTCAGCTGTGTCATTTTAAAACCACCAGCGAAGCGAAAGAGTAGCCATCATCCTTTCCGTGCTAATTAGAGAGGCCGGGCGCCCAATGCGAATGGAGCTGACCCGCTCGCATTTGCCGCCAGAGTGGTGATCACACGTCGTCGTGCTCAAAGCGCACAAAGCGAGCCACATGCCCTAATTGTTGGGCTTTCATCCGCCAGAGACGTGCTGTCGCGTGAGATCCTCTATTACCACGTTTCAGAGGCGGAGGGGAGCTTGGAGAACTTGTTCCGTTATGTGATGATACCATAGACTGCTCTATGAAAACTGGTTAAATGTGCTGGAAGAGGTCTGTAATCACCACATTCATGCCCCATTAATTTAGAAATTACAACAATCCCACAAAGAAGGCACGTTGATTCTCAATTAATTTCACATGAAAAGACTGCTTATTTTCATGTCTCGTAACAACTAGCAATTACTGAGTTACAAGAAATAGTTTCGTGTATTACTGCAATTAATGTTTATATTTTTGTATATAATTTTCTTTACCTTTAAAAACAAAGCTAATTTGATACTCCAATCTCCCCTTCATTTTATTCGACCGAAATAAAAAGAGTAATTAATATATGCATTGAAAACTATTTTAAAAGCACGAAAAATTGTTAGATAATATAGTTTCATACAACTAAAGAGACAACCACTGTGACTATAATTTTATTTTTTAGAGAGGTGTATTTATTTGACGATAAAATTAATATGAAATTCTATCAAAATAATGTACTGAAACTGAACGAGAATTAAATAATATAAAATTTCCAGAATGAAAAAATCACATGCTATGATCAAGCTCAATGACCAAAACTAGTTTGCCAAGAGTTTTTTTAATTTTATTCATAATGTTAAAGATACTTCTCAAAGGCAATATGCTAGTACAGTACCTCTTTATCACCTATGACATAATTTTTTATCTACTCTCCTGGTAGCGGGACAACAATATTATTGTCTTGACGTATCGTATTTTTCTGTTTTGCATTTGACTAAAAATGGGATAAAATAAAACTAAACATTACACTCGATGGTAAACATACATTATCTACTTGAGAAAAATATCTCACTCGCTTCTATCATTATTCGTCCGTCCATTGCCTAATACCTACCTATCGTAGATAATGTATCTCTTTATCATCTTGAATAACAAATTACTAAACATTTCCCCTGCATGTTATTGAACATTTTTTGAATATTTACCCGAATCACTTTGACTTTCTATTTATCTGATTTACTATCAATGTAATTAAAAATCATGCAAATATTATGGATTTTTTTCGAAGATCCAGTTGTAACCTTACTCATCCACCGTGATCTACCTCAGCGCATACTTTGAGTCATGACCGTAACACTGCGAAGAGCAGGTAGATTAAATAGCCATCAGCTGTCGCCGGAGAGAGCATATTCGGAGTCTGTCGTGGTCGGGAGTGTGTGTACACCGAGAGCGCCCGCTTTCGTCGAAGTCGCCGCATGACACGACAGGTGGTCGCGACACCGGCGCACGCTGATAAGATCAGGGGCGCGGAAAAGCAAGCGGTTATCTGGATGGGCTGCATATCGAGCACGGGTCGGGAGAGAGGCCGACAGCTGGCGGGGCAGGGCGGGGTCAAAATACGACCCACAAGCTGATTCTCCGGCAAGGTCAAGGTTCCTGAGGCTTTTGGGTGAAATACTTTCATTTACAATCTGCGTATTGCCTCTGGTTTCAAACATGTTATTTAGAATTTAAAATTTTAATTGTGGTTTGTACTTTTTTTCGATGTTTAGAATGTGTTTGATGTAAGATAAATTGACGATGCCTCCAATGTGACCTATGTATAGAGATGAGTGTAGTGAGTGAGGCATAAAGAATAACAAATTTAACATAATAATAATAATAATAATAATAATAATAATAATAATAATAATAATAATAAAGCATCATCCAAAGTTTTGCTAGCAGAGTGGAAGCTTGCTACATGCCTAGGAGGGAGGGTCATAACTGATATCCAGGAACTACACTCAAAACAAATTATTTCATTCCGGGAACACTTTTGTTTAAAAAGTTGTAATCGATAGTAAAGCGATTGTGTTAACAGATACAAATGTTACCTCTCAACATCTCTGCCAGATCTTGAAAAACTTTTATCTCTGAAAAACGTAAATTTCAAACAAAAAATACAAAGCAAAACCAGAGGTCAGAAAACGAAATCCATAGCAAAATCTTTCAGGCCTTGCATGATCCATGCACATATTCCTCACCTGTGTAAAGTGATTAGAAAGTAGAGATCTATATTCTACAATTGAAGATTTCATGTGAGTCATTCCACATGTTCCCACCATAAACTGTTCAAAAGTATCCTATATTTCAGTCCTATAAATGCCGCAGATGTAATATGTTCAGGGAAGGAATAGATCATATCATTTCAGAACGTCCAACCCTAGCGCAGGCAGGATAATCAATACTTCATAACTACACCGCTTCTATTATACACGAATAAATTGCAACTAATAATAATTTGAGTGATTTTCATTCTCTTTCTTCACACACAAATCTAATCCTGTGTTCTAAAATTAAAACGTGAGAATTCATTTCGATCACACAATTTTGACACACAAAACTATGGAATATAATAGATAGGTAATAACTCTCAAAAAACAAAAACTATGTTTCGTATTGATGTTGCTTCCCCTTGCAAAAGAAACTTTCAAATGTCATTCACTGAAAAATAAGAAAATACAGCTATCTAGTATATGAGATTAAAGATCAATGGAAGCAGAACCATGTTTCACCCTCCTATTCGTTATCGCTAGTATCGGTTTTCAACAAAAGCAGGATAGAGAAACTTGGTACCACTGCGAGGGGAAAATTGGTATCCATCCAAGACATTGACTCAGAAGTCTGTTATTCTGAGCACTTGATATATTCTCCGAATCTTTCTACAATTTGATAATTAATCAAAATAGTATCAAATAATATACTTGGCGAAAAAGCCCATTGAGCTGACAAGGTCTCCTTGTAAGCCAAAAATGTTTTCACTCATTAGAAAAATGAAAATTTCATTAGTAAAATAATGCTCATGCTCCATTGTTAACAAAAACATTTCGTTTAATCTACTTGCACCACTATAGAAACTACATTGAGTCACTATGTACCCGAGATGTCGATTTCATGTTACGTTGAAATTTGTACTGGGATATCCCTATTTTACGAGAAAAAAGTAATAATTTCTTTTCTCAAAGCAATATTTTCTTTAAATTGTAGGTATTAAATAGTAGAAGCATAGAATAATAGTATGAAATAGTAGAAACTAAGTAGAAGCTATATCAAAACAATGTAAGGAAAAAAAATTGTTAGTGCCAACATCACCGTTATTTAGTTTTTCAGCATTATTTAGTGAAATTTCTGATTAAAACGTAATTGATTTTGCGGCAGATGCAATGTACAATTCTGCAGTTAGTTTGACTGACAATATTTTATCTGACATTTTAAGTTAAAAATAAAGGATTAAATAATATATGAATAGAGTAGTTTACATGCGTAGTTTAGTTGTATCAATTTATGACAATTATTTACTACATTTTAATTACAGATGGTGCCGTTAATGAGAAAATACATGAAATAGAATGCCCCATGAGCGTATTCACAAGAACGTGCAAAAGTAAAAACTGCACCGCAGTGAAGTGGAACATTCGACGAAGCGTCGATCGAAGCGGCCCTAACGGTGCTGTCGAGACCTAACCGCTGCCTGTCAGCGGCCCAGATTGGCTATGAAAATCTCCAGCTCCGCTCTGCTCGCTGCAGGAAGGAATTTGAACGGGAATGAAAAAAAGAGGACGTTCTCCACAGTCGAGCGATGGAGATTTTTCTCTCCCGGAGAGGATTATCGTAATTCTTCAAGGACGAAGTAATTTTTAGAACTTTTTAAGTGAGTATTACAAATAACAGGTCATTTATTTTTTGTCAGGAAGAATTTTTTATTAGGCACTTTGTTAGCATTTCGCCATTGCTCCCGTTGCGCGTGTTGGAGAATTCATGTGCTTTTCCGCAGAAGTTTCACTTTCTTTTCTATTGATTTATTGTGTCTCTTCGTAGATACTTACCCTTGCATATAGACTATCAACTTTCCGGAAGAAATGGTTATTGAATAACGCGAAGTAGAGATCTGAATTGGAAGCAATAAATTAACATTTTTATCGTTTAGGAAAATAGTATTTATAGTTACGATTTTAAAGGAGTTTAAAGCTCCTATTGAGTCCAGTTCTCCTTGACTATTTGAAAACAAATTTGTTTGCTGATAGAAAATTCTTAGATAGTTACAGTCTTAGATAGTGGTAGTTTGAGAAAAATATTTATTCAAGGTCAACATTATTAATTGAAACATCTTAAAAATACTAGTTATTAATAAGAATATATCATAGGCTACTTACGAAACAATGAGATTGGACTTCATTTCATTGCAATTTTGAATATATATTTCATTTCACACTACAGATGGATTTTTTATATTAACATCCAAGAGGCTATGAAGAATGATGAGAGAGTAAGAATGCTAACACTATAACTTCTATTAGATGTTAATTGAAGAACACAAACTGACTGGTTGTGTAGGTGTAAATATGCTTTTAAAGCCTTCCATCCAGTGCAAGCATTCATCTCATCCTTTCAAATTCAATTTCTTATGTGTCTCATAGCCTTCTATAACAATCTCTTTGCTCCTCTGAAAAAAGTCTTAGAGCACGCAGGTTTTGCTTATATAATGTGAAGCAGGAAATAATATTTTATTTCACGAAGAAGACCTCAATTTCTAAAAGACATACGCAGTCAATCTCTCGAATCTATGATATAAATGCCTCAACTGGGTGTGAGACTGTGGGAAAATAGCCTATAACTCCCTTTCAGTTGAGAAGGCAGATTATATTGAGGCGATCAGAATAATAATGGCAGATCCGACCAACGTTCCTTTTGAGAAAAAAAACAACAACAACACTTTTTCTCTTTTCGTTCACCTTCATTTGGATTGTGGACAAACTTTCGAATATGTAATTTGAGGGTTTAGCCACATCCCAATTTATTTGATATTTCAACACATGATAGGTAAATGGCAGGAGTTTACCGTTGCACGTCTAACTGAAAATGCGAGGTCGGTTGGGATCTACCTGTATCATCCTGATTGCCTCCATTCTTCTAAAAGCAGCTAGAATTTGAAAGTAGAATTTAGAGGATTATTTTACTACCTTGTCATCCCTTGTCGAAGTAAGGTAAGAAACTGTGTGCCAGTCTTGTAACCATGCATGTTCAACCTGACTCCCGGCGTGTCTGCCCGTCGTCGCCGGCGCTGCAGCGGCATTTACGCAGCAGCGGCATTTGCTCAGCAGCGGCATTTGCGCAGCAGCGGCATTTGCGCAGCAGCGGCATTTGCGCAGCAGAGGCATTTGCGCAGCAGCGGCATTTGCGCAGCAGAGGCATTTGCGCAGCAGCGGCGGCGGTGCACTGAATTAATGCTCCATTAATGCAGCCGGGATTCGAGCACAAATCCGGCACGTGGGCGGGCGAGGAAGCGCGCGTGGGCGTGGCGGATTGGAGCTCGCGCCGCGGAGCGGAGTGGGGACGAGCGGAGCTGCACTGGGCACAATCGAACGAGTTCTCTGTTCGGAATCTTCGCGTCTATGTTGCAAGGAGACGCAGACAATCATTTCTGCTTGATTGTCACCAAGAAATCAGTAATTTTGTATAATGTTGAAGAAAAAATGGGAAACCGGAAATGGTTTCTCTTTGTTTGTGTAGCAACAAGTCAAATTCTGTAAACTCTGTTATGAATTTTAATTTAGTTTGAGTCGAATAGAAAATTTAATATAATAAAAAGATGACAAAAATAATTCAGAAGAGTTCTGAATCGTTTTCAAAGTTTTGAACGTACGTCAAAGACATGCCTAATCAAAGGATGAGGATAAAAGATACTTATTACTTCAAATAATGTTAAATCTTCAAACAGTTTGTATTGAAGACTGATTCGTTGCTTCTCGCGTATTCATTAGTCAGGCGATTAAATTCCACTTTAACTTGATACCTCTTATACTTATATTATAAAACTTGCAGGAATACGTTTCCTCTTTTACACTTACTAAATTCGTGCAACATTGAAACATTCGAAGTGGTACGAATTTAATCATATATGGTGAACGTCTAAATTGTCTTTCAATTTTGAATAATCAAGACAGCTTAAAATCCTGGTTCTTCAAAGATTTTCTTACTGTATTACCTTTGATAATTCAACAGAACCTGTTCAGGAATAAATACTTTTTGGGAATTTTAAAAAAAGCTCTACTACGTGTTAGATCAATACTTAATAGGTGCAATTAATACGTACATATAAACAGATATTACTATATCCAAAAAATACTTGTATAATTATGATGTGAGGAATCATGTATATATTTTATTAATATAGATCGTAAGAATAATTTAGAATACTGTTCTTTTGTAAAATAATTAAATATAGTGTTTCAAATCCACTATTAACAGCATTATAGGGTTTTCAAAACGTGTAATTGAATTACCCGCTTATAAACTCTTTGTATTTTTATTTATTTTTCTCAAACACATTCTAATAAATTTTGCAATATTCAATACTTTTTAAATGTAAACAAAATATATTTTCGTGTATTTGTTACCTTCCTCTTTATAAATATTAAACTACTAGGATTAGTAACACAACAATCACAATTGCGTTTAAATGCAATGTCTCTCCTACGTCAAAACTACTCTTTCATTGCTCTCAACTTCTTTATCTCTACCGTGCTCTTACAGAAGACAGCGCATCGTATTCCAGCCACCAGGAAAGACTGTTCGAACAGCATGAATTACAAGAGGAAGCATTGAAATTCCAGTTGCAGTACTGAAATACGTATGTATCTGGAGAACCAAAAACTTCATGACATGTATTTTGTAGAATATATTATTGAATGATTTTTAATTTCGATTGTGAGAATTTGTGATTAATTATCAAGAGAATATTATGAAATCAGACATATTCAGAGCGAGAAGGAAATAATTTTCTTACGATAAAGCGTAGCAAAGTTGAATGCATCCTTTCGTGTATCAAATTTTCCTGTAAATGATCGTGAACTAGTGCAATTCAACGAGGCGTTACTAGCGAACTAGCCCTAAGCGCGCGTAAAATTCGTCGATGTCGCCTCGGCCCGGGGGCAACGCGCTTCGGAGCGCCGCCCCGCCCCGCGCAGCCGCGCCGCTGGCTTTCGCGCGCGTCGAGGGCGTAATCCGCCGCGTGGTGCGATGCACCAATCGCGCTGCGGGCGGGGCGGCGCGAGGGCTCTGCGGGGGGCGGGGGGCGCGGGGCGGTGGGAACATGGTGGCGGGTGAAAGGTGGGACGCGGATGAGGTGGCTGGTGGGTTGCTGGTTTGCAGAGCAGACAGAAAAGTGGGTGGTGGGGTGGCGAGTGGAAGTGGGGGCGGGGAAGTGACGCGGGCGGTTCTGGGGGGGGGCTTGCAAGGAGCGGGGCTGAGACTTGTGGATGGAGTTGAGAGGGGAAGGGCGGGGAGCGAATGAAACGGAGAGGTGGTCGGGGCGCGGGGTTTGTGGAGGCGGTGTGTGGCGGGTTACGGGGGATAGAACTGGGCAAGGGGGGGGATGAAGGCGGAAGAGGGGAACGTGGGCCCGCGGAGGCGGGGGAGGGGGCTGTGTCGGATGCGCGTGGTGTTGGTCGGAGGTGGCGGCTGACGCGGAGGCGGAGAAGCGAAGCCCCTACGGACACAGCAATTTGTGATACGAATCGCTCGCATCAATATTCCACGCGGGTGTTCGCCTACGCTGTTGATGCAAATATCTCCCCTGAGTGCCTTGTGTTGATGTTGTACAAATGGAAGTTACTCGTAATGAATGTATGCATTAATGAGATCAGAAGAATTTTCCAAAAAGAGACTAGGTACTACTACATCAAACAAACAAACGGTACGCAGGAAGTACATAAGTTTGTTTTCAGGAAATTGAAAATGTAAGTACCTTCTACATGAATGTCAGAAATCATACTTTGAATTAGATTAGGAACTACTTCCAAATATACTATTTTTTCAACATTGCTTACTTTAATGATATATATTTTATGCGTAGAACTTATAATAGTATAAATGGTATAAATTAACGTTGTTTCTAAGTTTCCCTCAATGCCGCACCAGTTGATACATATCTTAGAGAATCAATTTAAAATCTAGATGAATCTTCCGTTCGCCTGATGATGGCTTAAAGAGTTAGCCAAAATGATACCTACTTCTAGTGACTATTTCAAACATAATAAATATCATAAATGAAAAACGAAATGTCTTTAATTGAAAAAGAAACTTTTTTAATATATTTTTTGTGTCACATCGCACCATAGTTCACGGTCAATGATCGACTACATTACACAACAGGCTGGCTCGTCAAGATCTGTTTTTCTTCCGTAACATTTTCCAGCTTCCTGCTCTCTTGGGTCATGGTTTGCATAATCCGGGATACTGGCCGACCTTGCCTTTTGATTTTATACCGGTCGGCATCACGTGGGATATCTATGTAAGAGCATGCAATCTAAAATCTGTTTTTTCACTGTGTGTCTCATGAGTAAATGGGTTTCAGAAGAGACTGTTCTTAGACGGAATTGAAAATTAAGTAGAAAACATTTTTCGTCTTTAAACATTTGCTGCGCAGTGGCTGTTAATTAATGGTTCAATGACAGCAGAAAAATCCGGAAAGTTTTCGACTTTTCGGCATTAAGCAATGAAACCTTTAATGTGATCAGACATACACTTTTCTCCGTCCTTTCGAACAAATCCAAACGAAAAATGGGACATTTTCTTTCAATATAATTTTTTGAAGGAGTAAAATGAGAGTTTGTTTCTTTTTCAGAGGAATCCCCTCCCAAACATCTCTTC